CTTCAAATTCCCACGAACTAGCAAACATAATCCCAGCACAGAATGTCGAGTAGACAATCCCGAAATGAGTCCACAGCTTGGTACGAACGCTAGTTAAAGATTTCTGACTTTACTTCGTCTGCAATAATACAGATAATACAGTTCTCCGAACTCCTTTTTCCCTCGTCTCTGTCAATCACTCTGCTCACACACTCGCGCTCGCCCCTCCCGCACCTGCTCACTACCTGATCATGCACTCCTCTCATGCCCACTGGCATCAACCAATGAAAACCCACTATTAGTTTCCAGCACAATTACCACAGATTTACAAGCTGTATATACAACCCATGAACTCGTCATAACATGTTTTTAACTAAACATTATCTTTTAGTTATTTATCAAATAACAGAGTAATATCAGATTTACTTGAATGAACTCTTTTAACCCAGTATACTATTTATACTGGGTTACATTAGTATTACCTGTTTGTGCTCCCGCCCTCCTCGTTAGCCTGTGCTTAAATATGTGTCACTTCTGTTCAGCTATTGCTGGTTCGTTGTATGTTCATCCACTGCAGTGTGTCTTGCTTGCCTGCATGTTTCTGCTGCCTCGTTTTTGGATACCCCTTTGTTGAATTCTGGACTCGTAAGTTCTGTGGGCTTAAATAAATACTCAGAAACTGTACCTGTTCTGCCTCTGTGTCCTGCGTTTGGGTCCTAAAACCTGTTCCTGCCTGCACACACAACAAACTCTGACACCTATACTAGTATTTTCCGTCCTTAATTAAACATGTTTGCAATCTGAAGGCAAAACTTTTGCTACAGATTTACAATAATTCACAATATAGATGTTTTTGTCATTTGAATATGAAAGTGTTTCCCTATTAACACCATGGCAGCAAGCTCATTTGGGGATGACAGCATGTCTCTATATCAAGTTGTGCTTTTTATTTGTGTATTTTAGTACTGCTATTTGGGCTATATGTTTATCTTGGAATTATGGATTTGAATGTTTACCATGTGCCCATATTTTCTTCCTCAATACTGACAAGCAAACAACTGTCCTATTGAGTTTAGAGGTTCTGTTTTGTTTTGGGGTTTGTTTTTCATAAAACAGAGGTAAAGAAAATAGAGAATGTGAACACAGTAACTCAACTTGCCAATGATGTCAAACATGTCCTCTCACAGTGCAAATACAAGCAACCTTATTAACATTAAAAGGCCAGATTTGCTCTATCTATGCAGCTCTTATATCTTATTAAGTGCACAAAGACTTTCATTACTCTAGTTGTTTGCAGTTCCATGCTATTTAACACCTTACTGAAAGTACTGTAACACCTTACAAGCTCTTGCAACTATTGACGCACTAGTGTTCACTCACAATACCTGTGGTTTTTATCTGTGCACCTTGCCTTCTATTTTATTGTTACTTAAAATGATGTTCTTGCAGCAGAGGGGAGTGCAAAAAAAGACCCTGACTGCATGAAGGTAATTCATATGTATTATTCATCTCTGACTCTTCCATTTATACTTACAGTTAGCTGCAGTTGTATATGGTGAAAAGGCAAGTGTACACCGGATGAGAGGGTGCTTGCTGTTGCTTGCACTCCGGTTATTCCATGTTTTGTGTTTTCAGTCCCATGTTACCAGTGCTTGTACTGAAAACAATGATTACATGTTCAAAGGGATTAATAATATTTCACAAGACAGATATATTAAATTCCTTTCAATTAAAATGTAGACTTTATGGTCATAATTTTAATATGATAATTAAAAAAGGTACAAAGGAAATAGTCTGCTGTAAGAAGAGAACACATCCGTCAACAGGCAAATGCAAAGTGTTAAATGACATGCATCTTCCTTGTTGCTGTTCGAATGGTGGGGACCCTCTGTGCTTGAGCATAATGTGGTGTAAATGAGTCATTATTGGAGTTATGAAACAGTAACAGAATATGTCCACTTGTCCTCGCAGATTTACAGAGAAAAAGGTTGAAATGTTGCTCCGTGGTCTCTGAGCCTGTCATAGAGGAAGTCTTTTTTTCTGCCGCGCCATTGCTTTCAGATGTGGTCAAACGGCATGGTCTCCTGATGCAAAAAAAAAGAACACACACTTTTTTGAAAATGAAGTGTTTTGAGAGAAATGAGTTGTGGGGGGAGAGTCCCTTCATGGAGACAAGTAATATAAACACACAGACAGAAAGCAGTGTGGGAGACAAGAACCAGTTTCATAAAGTTTGAAGTTTTCCATCAGCAAGGACCACCGAATATCAAGACCTGACAAACGACCAGTCAGATAGTATGTAGATATACAGTGTCCTACAGTACAAACTTTAATACTCATTAAAATTGCATTCCATCTAAACCTTTGCTCAGATCATACTAAAATGTTTCACTGACACCAAGCAGACACAATTAAAAAACAGTGAAGTAATGAAATAATATCATTAGACTGAAATGCTATGAATACATGTTTTGTATATTTTTAGTCTTATGTGCTTGGGTGTTTAAACAGTTGGCTTTGTGAACAATTTGATCAACAGAACAGCGGGTATTTTCAAGCCTTAAAGAGCAGCCTCTTAAGTAATAATGAGAGTGAGAAATGCAGTGCATTTAAGTGAAAACCCTGATTAATTATGTATGATTAGAGGACTCTTAAAAGCTTTGGGGAGAGAAAAGAAAGAAACTACATAAACAGAACATGAAGTCCAGAATGGCTAGATGGATACCAGACGTGAAATTGTAAATGAACCTTAAGTATACAGGTGACTGCAGAATCATGAGAGATATTGCTTCTGCATGGCTGGACACTGGCTGACCGTTTATGTACAGGTCATGTCCCACTTTGTACTCAGTTACTGTCCATTGTTCGGAATTTTTATATCAATGTCAGGTTTTATATTTGCAATTTAGTGAATATAAAAGTCAACTTTTGCCCTTGCGCCCAAGAAACATTTTTGTAAATAAGATGTTTGGTTACAGATTTAGTTTGACTTTTGTTGATATATAACTGTTGTAAGTAGCGCAGTGTAAATACAAGAAAAGATAACACTGTTTATGTGGTATAGTCTTGGAAGCTACATGCATGTTGTTTTATCAAAGAATGAGTCACTGAGCAGAGGTCATTAAGAAACATCTTTTCAGCTAGAAATACATTCAGACATGCAGGTCATGATAACTTCTACAGATCTATCTTGTTCCTTATCCCCTCCTCTTTTATTCTTCCTTTCTTCACCCCACTCTTCCTCCCTGTCAGTGGCATCATGCGTGTTTTCACCTCTAAAGTGATTGTACCTGATTTATATGACAGGCCTTTAACCCTGCGTGTGCTTGTCCATCAACATCAGCCTGAAAACACCCAAGGGCATGTGTGAGCAGGACCAAATCTGGCTCTCTGTCATTCAGTGGCTGTAACCTCCAACTAGAATGCACTCCAACAAATCATATTTATTCCTGCACTGTTAGGATGTGAGTCAATCCCATGAGGTGAAAAGTGTTGCAGGTTGTATGCATCCAAAAATATACCTCTATCTTAAAGCAACAATCTTATTGAATCTGACTACATATAGATATCTATGAGTATATAAATAATAGGAATAAAAAGTACTCTGTACTTTGAGAGTACAATGAATGGCAGTTTGAGCAAAGCCATTCCATTTGGATCCAACTCTTAGCCTTAGGTAAGGCCTGCAAAAAATTGTTCAGTAATTAAACTGCAGAAAATAGGAGCTCAAAATGAAATGAGTACACTTGCATGTCTGAAAACATGAATTTGTAAAATATTGCAATGAATTTAGAGACTACAAAGAAGTAGACAAAACTGCTCATTGTCTCCACCTCCAGTCAGTAGATGGCAACAGAAGTGAATGTATTAATGCTGTAATGGCCCCGCTTACTGGTCATAAATAGTAGTACAGGCTTAAATGGCCAGTGAAAGGAGTTTGTGAAGGGTCCTGCATGCAGTTTCCCCACATTTACAAGCTAGCTGAGATGATGAATGTCAGCAAATATCTTCAAGAGCTCAAGACCAATATCTATCAAGCTTTTGGTTTATTTGTGGAGAGACAAATACAGCTTCCAAATAATACTCAGTGGTTATTAAAATAATAGTTAATAGATAGGTTCCATTTACTTGTCAAAATTACAATTTACTATCTCCTCATTGACATTAATCAGTGCCACTGCATCATTACAAAACACCATCACTCTTAAGATCTCAGAGTTTAAGAATTAAAAGCTTTTTTTAAATATCTATCATTAATTTCATTATTATGGTGGCCCTCCTCTCTGGTTTATGGAATTATGAATCATAATGAATGTTTTTTGGATTTAGACTGTTGCACAAAACAAACCATTTGAAGACATTGTATTAGGTCCTGAGAAACTACGATGAGTATTTTTTTGTCTTTTTTAAGATTGTAAGGCCTAATGATTACCTGATTATGCAAAAAAGAATAATAAGCAATCTAGAGAATTGTCAGCTGGAGCCTTAATATGAAGAGCAGGAGTGGAAGAAGTACAAAGTCTTACTCAAGAAAATAAGCATTTGAATGTCATAGTTGGTTGAGGCGGGGCTCATTTATACTCACAGTATAAATCTCACAATATAAAGAAGATACAATATTCAGTTGGCCTACATTCAAAGTCCTATTCAATCAAGTAGGCCAATAGTATGCTACTTATTTATATTGCTACACTGATAAAGAGTTAAATAAAATGTCATCTCATTTATTATCTTCTATTAAGGGTCCCGATGCAACGGATGGCTATTAGTTTATTATTGATATTTTTGGCATATTTTGAAATTTACTCAGTCTCTAGAGCTTTGATTTATGTTACAGTCAACTGCAAGACATTTATATTAAACCAATTATTTATGTTGTTAGTATTATATTCAGTTTAGATGATGTATAGTGTAGCAAAATATGAATTTTTCTTTTTTTTCTGTAGTCTCCGGAAATGGATTTTTGTAGAGATTTCAAAATAGAAGTCTTCTTATTTCGTGATCACGTGACTCCTCTGTTTACAGGCATCCGGAGAAACATGGAGGACACCGCTGACAGTAATCCCCAATCTCTCGGATTTACAGAGAAATTAAAGTCTTGGCTTTCTTGGTCATGGACTTACGTATGCTTCATTTGGTTCGGCATGGTGCTGATCATGATATACGTCTTGTGGAGCCCGCTGAAACTGCAGGAAACTCTTTCCTCAGGTGAATTAATGCAACCGCTAGCTAGGTATTGTTAGCCTTCGGGTTTAGCTGCAAGCGGGAGCTTTTGGTTTGACAGTTCGTTGTCTGACTGTTGCAAGCACAAAGAGAGGCGACTTTCTAGTTAGATACATGTCGACTTTTTAAATATATATTGCCAGCTTCTAGTTATGTTATTCTCTAATAGCATCTGTATTGCATGTAGTTAAAATTCAGTAGTTTATTGTTGTGTTACCAAGTAACGTTATGCTACTTTGCTCATCATATAATCGAGGCTGTCACCTGCTATGCTAAACCCACTGCGACTGTTCTTCTGTTGTTATGTCAGTCATGGTTTATTGCATGTTTTTTATTATTATGACATGGTCACAACAGAGGACTGTGGCATTATACTGACTTTCTCCACTGTTTGTTCCTTCAGCCTCAGTGTTTTTGAACACGCTGACACCCAAGTTCTATGTGGCTCTCACTGGAACCTCCTCTCTCATCTCTGGACTCATCCTTGTGAGTTATCATCTCATAAGTAGTCACCTTTTGCTAAATTATATTTGCGTATAGGCAACTTATTAACAGCTTGCAATAACCTGTTTGAAAGCCTACTTTTAGAGGAGTGTCTCTATTAAATGCTGTAATTCTACTACACACAGGAACATCAATATCAGCCCTTTTTCCAGTGTAGTGGTTCCTTAAGTGGAGGGCGTAAAGCCATTGAAGGGGGGGGATAAAATATGGAGCAGAACAAAAGTTGAATGAATCTGACTCATTCGGAAGCAGTAAACAAATAAGTTCTGTCATCTTGGCAAGGCTAAATATATTCAGGTTAACAAGACTTATGCAGACAGAGAAAATACTTGTAATTTGTGTCGTGTATGTATGTGTTGGTGAGCATGACAGAAATAGTGCAGGCGCCACTGGTCTAGTGATATTGTAGCAACTAAGGGATAACTGAGTAAGTGTTGTCTTGTCATATACTTTTTGTAAAGCATGTTGTCACCACATGTGTTCTTCTCATCACAGATATTTGAGTGGTGGTATTTTCGTAAATATGGGACCTCGTTCATTGAACAAGTGTCAGTGAGCCACCTGCGTCCTCTTCTGGGTGGAGTGGAGAGCAGCTCCACGACTGGTCTATTCGCATCAGTTAATGGAGAGGCAGAGCCTAGGCCCAGCGTTTCAGGTAAATATGTATATAATACAAACTGTAACACCAATACTACTCCAAATTCTACTAGCACTAATTATAATATATTCCTTTTGGTAGAGTGTAAGGTCTGGAGGAATCCTTTAAATCTGTTCAGAGGAGCAGAATACAACAGGTATGTGTGGCTTTTTGAGGTGTAAGCCAAATTTAGCTGTGTAGAATGCATCCAGTAGTACTTACAGTGGATGGTGCATAATGTCAGAGTCTTTATAAAGATGCATTCCATACTGAGTCTTTGGTGCAAGAAAGTGAATTCAGTTTCGTTTCATTCACTGTGGATTATAAAACTGTAGCATAACAGTTTGTATTTCACTGCAGGTACACGTGGGTAACGGGAAAGGAACCCTTAACATACTATGATATGAACCTGTCTGCTCAAGACCACCAGACCTTTTTCACAGGAGACACTCCTCAGTTAAGGCCAGAGGATGCTGGTGAGTTTTAATCATATACAAATTAATTCCCAAAATCTAAAAAGAGCAGAAAACAGAGATGTGATATTTATTTGTTTTAATGTACAGGAGACAGACTGTTAGCATATTTCCTTGGAAGATACTCTTTGGTTGTTTGTAAATATTTATACAGAACTGCTTTTTGTGTTTTTGTTTCGGAGCTTTTGAATTGTATGCATATAATATGTCGGGACACATCTATAATAAGCTTGAGTTCATCATCTCATTACAGTGATGCAGAAAGCCTGGAGAGAGAGAAATCCTCAAGCCAGGATCAGAGCAGCTTACCAGGCCATAGAAATGAACCATGAGTAAGTCCCACTCTTACACAGTTACAAATCATCTATTTAAATACTGTATCTATAAACAGCATCTACTGTTGTAATTCAGTTAAAACGGGAATTTTACTAACTTTCTGTGCTTTTTTCACTGTTTGCTTCGGTTAAGACTAAGCGCTTGACTACCTTACGTTTTTTGATGAGCATGTAAACACGACTTTTGTCTTCTTGTGTACAAGAAAGGAAAATAAAATGAGGATGGGCTGTTGAAAATCTGTCCCTTTGTTTGTGTGCAGATGTGCTGCAGCCTACGTGCTTCTGGCAGAGGAAGAAGCCACAACTATCACAGAAGCAGAACGCCTCTTCAAAAAAGCATTGAGTATCGGTAAGAAAGGACTTTATTTGATTTATACATCAAGAACTCATCCATTGTAAATCCTGAGCCACAGTAGCAGGGAGATAGCTTATTAGTATTAGTAACTACACCCACTTCTAGTCTTACTTGTGCAACATACTCTTCCACATGCTGTGCAATGCACCACTTTAGAATGCACCATTGTGCAACTCCACATCACCGGGAAGTGTGGCTATAAGTAGAACAGAACACATCTGTGCCCACCCACCTGTGATGAAGGATGTAATCAAAAGAGCAGTATTCCATTGAGGCAGCAATTAACCTTAACCCTCAACACAAGACCGCGATACGTAGTATAAAGTTGCTCTTTAGGTCTGAGGCCAAATTATAAATCTATCCATGTTGTTCATTCTTGTTAATATATGTATATATTTCGCCAGACTGATAAAGAGGTTTGTTTATTAAATGTCTCTCTTTTTTGCTATCCACAGCTGGAAAAGATATCAACTTACTGGTGTACATTAAACGCAGATTGGCAATGTGTGCACGTAAACTGGGACGGATAAAAGAAGCAGTAAAAATGATGAGAGATGTGAGTTTTTTCTTCAAAAACACAACTCTTTCACAGTGGCACCCCGTAGTGCTACTCTAGTGTGGGATTTGACGAAGTACTTGTGCATCTGAGTAACTGAGGCAACGTTTTTTTCTGTTTTTCAAATGAAATGACATTATAGTAGTACAAAGTTACTGTGTAATATTTAATCCTGTTACAGTTAATGAAGGAGTTTCCACTACTGGGAATGTTAAATATACACGAAAACCTATTGGAGGCACTTCTAGAGCTTCAGGCATATGCAGATGTCCAAGCAGTCCTTGCCAAATATGATGGTAAGACTAAACAAAGTCATCATACTATGTTTGGACAGAAATGAGCTCAGTGCCACTGAATCGGTCTGGAAAATATATGACCCCAATTTCTTCTTCCCCCATTGTAGACATCAGCTTGCCAAAATCAGCCACTATATGCTACACGTCTGCACTCTTGAAAGCACGGGCTGTATCAGATAAGTATGTTTCCTTTTGGTTCGTTTTGTTTTAAATATATGATGAACCTTGTACCTTTCAAAAGCATTTAACAACTTTGTGAGCAGCAACAGTGTGTCACATGAGATGTTTTGCCTCAGGTTCTCTCCAGAGGCCGCGTCAAGGCGAGGGCTAAGCACAGCAGAGATGAATGCTGTGGAGGCCATACACAGAGCTGTTGAGTTCAATCCACACGTGCCAAAGGTCAGTCATTAGACTAATGAGTGTCACGTAGACTCTGATGGTTGACCCATTGATTTTTTTAATGATGTCATGTTATACTATGAAGTTGAATAGATGTGACTTAACTTAAAGGTCAGTCAATCATCCCGAAAACCGTCTTTTACACATGGTATTAAAATGTTTATCTGTATTAAATTTCTTACTAGCTGAACAATCTCCATTAGAGTATCTCCCATTTGAAATTAAAACAAATTATCATCTCTACAGAAATCACTTCCACAAGTGATTATGGTATTTTTTTAAACTAACCGTTAACTATTCACATACTGTTCCTGTTCCACAATTTGTCCAGATTATTTTTATATTAAGACACTGTCTGGGCTGCATGCATCCTGTTTGAACTCCACACACGCTTAATGGAATTCATGCATTAAAGTATTCATCCATGCAACTGCTATGCTGCGTGTGGTTTGGATAGATTTTTTAAATCACTTTATTTTCTATATTTAGTCTGATCACACAGGTCTCAAATGACTGCCACGTGTAAAGGCCACACGCAGAACAAACAGGAAAAGCAGGCAGACAGGTAAACAATCAGTCAGATAATCAAAGATAAGTTATGTCAACAGCAACATGTGGTGCAACTTACAAATAGAGCAGTCTTTATTTCTAGACATGCTATAAACTGGCTCACCAGCAGGTGTCAGTGTGGGTCTTAAATACAGTAACTCTCAATTCATCTTATCACATCTGTAGTATCAGTTTGATTTGTATGTATAGTTGCCTATTCTTTCTCTATATCTGTGATTTGTATTACTAATCATTTAATTCAATACAACTAAACAGGACACTATTGTATATTTGATGATTTGATCAACAATTCAGTACATTTGGAATCATACATACATTATGTGTTTTTACAGGTAGTTTAGTTTGACATAACAGATTTGTCACAAGTTTGCTTAATAGAGAGCAGCTGGGGCCAGGGAGAACATGGGACTACAACAGGATATCTCTCTGGCCTTTCACATCATTTCCCACATGATTAGATGTCACACATGCACATGCACATGCACACACAAGAGTCATACACAACTAGTTGCTGCGGAGTTTTGTCTCAAATTAGCCTTTGTATTGCAGTGTTGTTTCATCTCATGGCCTCCCTTTTCTGAGAGAGAAAGAGAATTGGGGTGTGTGTGTCAGTGTGTGTGTGTGGTAGGTGTGGCATCAGCCAACACTTTGATCTAGCGTTTGATTTTCAAGTGAGGCCCCTCATCTTCAATGTCTTTCCAACTGCTCCCTCCCCACTGTGCCCAGAGGCAGTCATCCTCTCTCCTATCATCACGTACCCTCATCCTGTTTCTTATCTTCTCATGTTCCCTCCTCCTGTGTTTGAGCCAAACAGAGAGAGTGATGTCGGCCACCACTGCCAACTTTATAAAAATTACTCCTTTGAGCTGTGTGACATTATGAAATTTGTAACATAACTTTCACAGAGGTTTATTGGCTTGTCTTTCAGCATTTGACTGGCATCTGTGGGGAGGGGGCAGGGTTGTTGCTTTGTGTTGTCTGGCTTGTCTGAATCATGTGCGCACCTGTGACTGTGGTTTTTTTAGACATCAACGACATAAACAGTGGTTGATGCACAAAAGTTGTCATTAACTGATTGAGAAGGCAGGGCTTATTCTAATGAGCCATCCTTAAGTTGCTAATATCATGAACCTTTGTTACAGCTAAACATAATGTTAAAATAGGTTAAAGGAATAGGAATTTGACATTTTAGCAAATACACTTAATCACTTTTGCTGAATGTTAGACTCATGTGACTCATGTGCCAAATATGAAGCTCTCATCAGTGGCAACTTAGCTTAGCTTGGCATAATGACTGGAACAAAAACCAAGTGTATAAACAGCATGTTGTTTTTTTGTGCTACTTTGTATTGGCGCATAATCCACCTTAAAACCACTACATGTTGTTTTTACACTTACACTTACTTTACACTTTTTGGAGGGATTAAACAAACAATATAACATGTTAATTAGTGAGCTCGTTACCTAAAAGCAAATATTTCCCAAGATGTAAAACTATCACTTTACACTTTAGTTCACCATTGCAACCCCGCAATCTCCAGACAATACAAATCACTTTACCTGAGCATACAGCTCCTCGATAGTTTTCAATGGGAAACACTAGTCATATAATTTCTTTCTAACTAAATTTCTAAAGTGGTTTCTTTAAGAAATGTATGTTACTTGTATATGGGAAATAATAATATACAAATATAAAAATAATAATTAGGCAACATATTATTGAATAAACTTTACACACTTAGACGAGATACCAGTGTTGCACTGAACTGGAGCAAGCAGAGTAGAGCAGGTTTGGAAAATCTGAGTATGTGTGCCTTATTCTTCTCAATATTTCTCAAAAATCACCATCAGTGTACGATTTTAGAAAATTGAGATTCTAACAGGAAGGTAGCCAGGATAAATCTGAATATGGAAGAAGTGAAAAAAGAGCGATTTCCCCTTCCATTACCAGCACCGAGGCGCCTTTGAGCAAGAGCTTTAACCCCCAGTTTCTCCAGTGGAACTGCTCAGACTGTTGTTCAGGTGTGAGTGTGTTTCCCGTGTGTGTTTTAATATGAGGTAAAGCCAATGGACTCTGCCAAAGTGGAGTAATGAGGGAACAATGGTAGGTTAAGTGTGTGGATGTGTTATCAAGCATGCCAAGGAGATTATATATGATTATATAAGCTGTATCACATGAGTTTATTCAAGCTGTTCAAAAAGCTATCCTCGAAACCCACATCCACGCACACCCTTTAGTCTGTTTCATTGCACACCACCCTCCACATGACCTCTTTCCCTTGCCAGCTCTCCATCTTGCCCCCATTTACCTCTTCCTCCCCTATGCTCCATTTTATTTTTCATTGTCCTTAACTTTATCCTTCTCGTCCTCCACCCTTTTCTCCAGATATCTGTCCATTCCAATCAGCTTCTCTCCCAGCCAATGGTTAAGAAACTGACACGTTGCCGGATGCTTGGATAACTGATCAAGTGTTTTTCTATCTAAATCTACTGTGCATTTACATTTACCACCACCTGGGTCCATGTACGTCCATTCTTCATGCAATCTGGGTGACCCAATCTCATCTAACTTGGTAGTTTACTCCACTTTGGAAGGCAGTTTCTCATCTCAGCCCATTCTGGCTGACATGTTCTCATCTAGATTGCCTGTCAAGGCTTGAAAATGCAGGCCTTTGCTTAGTTTACCTCTGAATTGCCTTTTTGGTTTGTAAATTGAGACAGAGCAGCAGTGGGTTTGTTCTGAATTAAGATGTATGAGGTTTCATTCGAACAAGGAAAAAGCAGGATATTTAGGATGCTGTGACTTTTCTGCCACAGCCCTCTACCTCAGTAGAGTTTGGAGTAGCTAGTAGCGCTGTTTACTGACTGTATTAAGGTCTTTGTATGCGTTTGTAACTCCAACACCTGATTGTCTTTATGTTCTTTCACTGTACGCGTGTGTTTATCCGACCCTCATGGAGCAACTGTAAGCCTGATGTCATGGTTGCCTGTGTGTGCCATTGTGAGAGGCAGAGTGCTGCAGATTAGACTCAGAAGGCAGCTTATGAGTTATGCTCTGGGCTTATGACTGCCCAGGGATAAAAGGAGAACACATGAAACTCAATCCCTTCATCAAAGAGGCGACAGGGAGTAGAGAAGCAGACCGAAGAACGATGTGGGGGAGTATACCAGCAGAGAGAACTGAGGTGTCACCAGGTCTAATGCTGTGGCATGTGGGGATGGACAGCTGAGCAGCCACCCTCTCTAAATGGTTAATCTAAAAACAAAGAGGACCCAGACCTACTACATCTGTGCCATATACTGGTCATTTATTATTAGCAACAGACTAATATAGATCATGTCCAGATCTAACAAAAATAACAAATTGGCTCGCTGACAGAAGTTTAAGGCTGGGCCCCAAATGAAGCTCACCTTCCGACCCGTCATGTGGTTCTTCATTCAAGTGTTTTAAAAAATTAATACATATAATATTATTAATACATATTATATTATATTATCAGTTACGGCAGTTGTTTTTGTGCTTGTACAACAGAGAGGTGGTAGGTTTCCTCTTGAGCTGGCTGGCTGCCTCAGCACTGGTGCCGGGGGAGTAGACGAGTGATGGTGAAAGGTTTGTGCTCAGAAGAAAGGAGACCGAAATGAGGAGGATAAGAGCTTACTGTCAAATGTCTTGGCTGGAGCAGAGAGAACCGATTTAAGCAATTCAGACAGGATAAGTGAGAAGGGCAAACAAGCAGCTTCTGGCAAACAAGCAGCTTCTGGTCTCTAGGTGCCGATCCTTGAAATCACTACAGAGGATGTTAGGATGGAAAGAGAAGAGGCTAGAAGATTTGGATTTACCAAAATGTTTTGAATACATGTGCACTCTAAATTTAGGTGCGGCTAGCTTAATTGCCTTCTCAGAAACGAGTGACAGAAACACTCAAAGCAGGTCAGATCGTTTGTTGCCTTTTCCAAGAAGTCAGCCACAGATGGAGTAGATCTGCTAGGTTACACTTCAGCAGAACAGTGTCTGTAAACGGCGATTTTTGCGGCTTTCTCTGACACTTTAAAATGCTTTCACGCTGCCAACATGTCAACTTAATAGTTCAGTAAAAAATTTTTGTCTTTTGATGTATTAGGCCGAACACCGAAAGTGTTTTTTTTGCTATTTTTGGCCGATTAATTTCGGTGCCCGAACATTCGGTGCATCCCTGTTGTCTAGCCTGCTAACATTTGATAACTGATCACACAAAGTACAGCTGAGGCTGATGGTTTGATAGTTTTGCAGGTATTTGGTCATAGTAATAGTGAACAAAATTAAAATTTGATGGCTAATGATGGCATTAGAGGAAAACTTACAGGGTCATAATAGTTATTACAATTTATCCTAAAGAGAATATGAATGTGTGTACTAAATGTCATGACAATCCATCCAGTTGTTGTTTAGA